GAGTTGTTGTTTTGAGAGATAACAGTGCCACAGTTCTAATCGATGCACATGACTATCATACGCATAGCGAGGCCACATCATTGCTGTAAGGGCTCGGAAAGTGACGTAAAATAAACAATTGTTGCATCTGCAGTTTGGAGGAATGTTAAGGGCTGTTCCTGATACTGTACTAGCGTTATTCAAAAACCCTTGTGATTTTCCTCTCCGGAAAATATTGCAGCAGACCATTGCCTCTTCTGAATGATGATGATGATGATTTTGTCATTGCCTGCTATTTGTGAACCTTTCCTCATGAGTTAATCTCCATTTTATGCCTTCACTTTAGCTCTAGCTCACCTGAATGCAAATCCTGTTAATCTTCCCATGGTAGGTTGGGAAAAAGAGAGCTGTGGATCCATTATTATTATTATTATTATTATTATTATTATTATTATTATTAATATACTGCCCTATACCCGGGGTCTCAGGGTGGTTCACAGAATAAAATCAAGATATAAAACCACAAAATACATAATCTATGGCATAGCTGTACCCACCTCTCTTCTGTCTTCCACTCGCATCCCAGGGCAAAGGTCGCAAAAAGGGGCATCTGCTTCCAGGTTATTGGAGTGCCAGACGGGGGATGGTACGTAACACGAGGTACCACTGCAGATGCCCCTTCTTGTGACCTTTGCCCCGGGATGCGAGTGGACGTTGCGTTCTGGCAGCGTGGTGGCAGCGGGAGGCACCATTAGAGAAAGCGTTTCTCATGTTACGAGCGGTTTCCTGTTACGAACGGACCTCCGGAACAGATTAAGTATGTAACACAAGGTACCACTGTATAGGGCAATGCAACCAGTTTGCCCACTGAGGAGATCAGAACCAGATTTTGGCATTGCACAGGGTGCAGCTGAAATTCGAAAGACCAAAGTCCACCTCCGGAAATAATCTTGCTGTGATGGTATAGCCTTTTCTGGGGATGGGAGACAGGTTTGCTTTATATATCTGGTGACATAGGCACCTGAGCACTGGAGAGGAGGAAGACACAGCCCCAGAAAAGAAAACAAAAAACCAGGGCACTTTAAACTCACAAAATGGAACTGGCAGAGCCTTGAGTATTGCATGTTGCAATGGTGTCATAGGCAGCACCTCTTCCTTTTCCTTCCTGTGTGATCTCATAAACTCTTGCAATGCAGTTGTGGGCCTGGCCGTGCCATTCATTTCTTAGGCCTCTAAGCCACCAGCTGCAGAAATAAGGAAATGCTCTGGTTCCAGCACAAGTTTGGGTGGGAAGCCAACCAGGAGGAGAATCCACAGGAGTCCTGGTTGGGCATTCAGTCTCCTCATGGGTAAGCAAACACCCAGGAATGGGAAGATCTGCAGATTTTGGTTTCTGCCAGTTTCTCATTTTTCCAGGCTAAAATTCAGTTCTCCACATTTCTGCAACAACAGGCACACTTTCACCCTCATGAAAACTGGCCACCATTTTAGTGCAAATTTCTCCCAGAGTACATGCTTTTGCAGGCAGTTTCGACTAGCAATTCTCCCTGTTCTAATGCACTTTTGTGTGCTGTTTTAAGTAATGCACACACGCTTTCAGCATATGCATTTTTTGTACTCATTGGAGAACTGCATTGCAAAATTCAAGGAAGTGTACGTTTTGAAGGATAGCTGTGTTTTGGTTTGTGCATTGCTCCGATAAGCGTGAATGAGATAGATTCTCATTAAAATGCAAACCAAATTGAATTTCTTCTCCATCTCTATAAACACAGGAGTGGGAGGCAGAGTCCCACGGATAAGGACCCCTCCTTACCCTATCTGATGCATCACCCGAATACCATTTACATCCCTCCATGAGTTTGAGGGTAAAGATCTGAAGTGGGGAGCTTCCTCAATGTAGTGGAAACTCCTTGCCTGATGCAGAACTGTGCAGAACTGTGCACACTGAAGAAGAAGAAGAAGAAGAAGAAGAAGAAGAAGAAGAAGAAGAAGAAGAGTTTTGATTTGATATCCCGCTTTATCACTACCCAAAGGAGTCTCAAAGCAGCTAACATTCTCCTTTCCCTTCCTCCCCCACAACAAACACTCTGTGAGGTGAGTGGGAGTGAGAGACTTCAGAGAAGTGTGACTGGCCCAAGGTCACCCAGCAGCTGCATGTGGAGGAGCGGGGAAGCGAACCCGGTTCCCCAGATTACGAGACTACCGCTCTTAACCACTACCCCACACTGGCTCTCCCACTACAAGACTCTAAATTGCGTGGAAAGCTTTGACAAAGAGAAGAATCATAGAATCATAGAATCATAGAGTTGGAAGAGACCACAAGGGCCATCGAGTCCAACCCCCTGCCAAGCAGGAAACACCATCAGAGCACTCCTGACATATGGTTGTCAAGCCTCTGCTTAAAGACCTCCAAAGAAGGAGACTCCACCACACTCCTTGGCAGCAAATTCCACTGTCGAACAGCTCTTACTGTCAGGAAGTTCTTCCTAATGTTTAGGTGGAATCTTCTTTCTTGTAGTTTGGATCCACTGCTCCGTGTCCGCTTCTCTGGAGCAGCAGAAAACAACCTTTCTCCCTCCTCTATGTGACATCCTTTTATATATTTGAACATGGCTATCATATCACCCCTTAACCTCCTCTTCTCCAGGCTAAACATGCCCAGCTCCCTTAGCCTTTCCTCATAAGGCATCGTTTCCAGGCCTTTGACCATTTTGGTTGCCCTCCTCTGGACACGTTTTTGACCATTTTGGTTGCCCTCCTCTGGACCATTTTGGTTGCCCTCCTCCTGCTGTCCAATTCCAGCCTTCATTTGTGGAGGCTTGTAAACATGACCAGAGGTCCAACCAGAACTCTCTCTATATTTCTTTTTTAACGTGTCATGACCTATTCAGGTTTCTTAAATTCTGTCAGTGGAGAAGGCACAGTGCTGCGCACACCTCCTCTTCCACATCTGACCTTCTCACCTTGTGTGGGATGTTTCCAAAGGGGGAGTTGTAAGCACATGCAGCTGAACATGGTTATAACCTCCCCAGGACGGGAAAATTCAGATTGCCAACTGAAGGCAGGACGGTAGGCACATTCAGCCCACATGGGGACATGGGAATGGTAGTAGGTTCGGCATGTGCAGTCCCCACCCCACCCCAGTTAGCATTTAAACATGTATGTACAGGACTACAGTGGTACCTCGGGTTACATACGCTTCAGGTTACATACGCTTCAGGTTACACACTCCGCTAACCCAGAAATAGTACCTCAGGTTAAGAACTTTGCTTCAGGATGAGAACAGAAATCGTGCTCCGGCGGCACGGCAGCAGCAGCAGGCCCCATTAGCTAAAGTGGTGCTTCAGGTTAAGAACAGTTTCAGGTTAAGAACAGACCTCTGGAACGAATTAAATACTTAAACCGAGGTACCACTGTATAGCATTTGGAGTTTATGGGTTTTCACATACACATTATTCAGACAGAAGGGTTTAACTAGGTCAGCAGTGGCCAATGTGGTGTTTTCCCAATGTCATTTGACATGTGGAACAAGCCTTACGAGGAATGGTTGAAGGAGCTGGATATGTTTAGCCTGGAAAAAAGGAGACAGGCGAGATATGATAGCCATCTGCAAATATCTCAAGGGCTGTCACATGGAAGATGGAAGAAGCCCGTTTCCTCCTGCTCAGGAGGGTAGGACACAAACCAATGGCTTCAAGTTACAAAAAATGGGATTCCGACTAAACATCAGGAAGAACTTTCTGACAGTAAGATCTGTTTGACAGTGGGACAGCATCACTTGGGAAGTTGTGGACCCTTGGATGGCCATCTGTCATGGATGCTTTAGCTGAGCTTCCTGCATTGCAGGGGGTTGGACTAGATGACCCTTGGGTCCCTTTCCAGCTCTACAATTCTATGATTTTATGCCCTCCCGATGTTGTTGGGCATGCCTCACAATTGGCACTGCTGGCTGTGCCTGGTAGAAGTTGGTCTCTCACCTCACATGGAAATCATCACACTGGCTGCCTCTAAACTAGGCCATTCATAGAGCCCAGTCCTACAATATGATTGTAGCTGCTTTTCCTCCAGTCAGCCTCTTCCCTTGTCAAACTTGATCTGCTTGTCTCCCACCATCTTGTTCCAAAGAAGCAGTTAGCTGCGCTTTTAAATCAGAAGGAGAAAAAAGGGGCTTCTTTGTTTCCCTCATGATCAAAAACAGCCTTTTATTGGCTTTGCTTCGATTGTACCGCAAATCGCCCTCAGCGAGAAAGCCTTGAGAATTTAAAAGACGCATGAGCAATTAAATATGAGTTTTGGATGCAAAGTGGCAGGCAACAGTAAACACAGTCACGAGGGGCGAATGAAAACAGGTTCCTAGGCAAATTTTCCCTGGAGCATCCTTATTTTATTTAGAAGCTTCTAGCAAGCTTAGACAATTAGACATTTTTACTGACAGAGATGGATTTTCTAAAACCTAACTGGACCCACGGCCATCTCAGATCATCACTTCTCGTTGATGCTTCAAGACTTCTCAGTGCTCACCACTCCATAGTTACCAGAAAATTTGGCCTCTCTCACACAGCTTATGTTGTTTGCCCATCTATCCCTAAACTAAGAGTCATGCTTTTATGACTTCCTGTCCAATCCTCCCAATACTTCAGGAATCCCCTTTCCCTGGCTTTAGCTGACTCTGGCAGAGGTCTTCACAAAACTCTTCCCACATCAGTTGGTCTGCTGAGGAACACTTGCATATCTGCCACAGGAGCCAGTGTGGTGTAGTGGTTAAGAGTGGTGGACTCATAATCTGGTGAACCGGGTTCGCGTCTCCGCTCCTCCACATGCAGCTGCTGGGTGACCTTGGGCTAGTCACACTTCTCTGAAGTCTCTCAGCCTCACTCACCTCACAGAGTGTTTGTTGTGGGGGAGGAAGGGAAAGGAGATTGTTAGCCGCTTTGAGACTCCTTAACGGGAGTGAAAGGCGGGGTATCAAGTCCAAACCCCTCCTCCTCCTCCTCTTCCTCCTCCTCCTCCTCCTCTTCTTCTTCTTCTCCTCAGACGGTAGAGCAATGAGACTTTTAATCTCAGGTCATGGGTTCAAGCCCCATGTTGGGCAAAAGATTCTTGCATTGCAAGGGGCTGGACTAGATGGTCCCTGCGGTCCCTTCAAACTCTGTGATTCTATGAACTTTCCCCTGAACACAGCAGGCGAACTCGGGAGTAGGGGTTCAATTGTATGTACTACTCAGCTAATGTGGGGCACCTCTTTCACCAGTCTGCCATCTAATGGCATATCAAGGAAGAAAATATTGTTGTGCACCATCCCCATCGCTGATCAGTGCAAGATTCCAGGAGTTCAAAACATGTGCTTCCTTTTGGAAATGAGGCACAGTGGAGACCGTAGTGTCTTTATGATATACGGTTTTATTTACATAAAATAAATATGATGAGCCTATGATGGAGGGGTTCATAGCATTAACACCCCCAAGAGGGTCTTGCTTCTCCCATAGCTGCAGGCTTGGGTTCCAGCAAAAATCAGCCTCCGCACTCTCTCTCTCTCTCTCTCTCTGCCTTTCCATCCTGTGTACCTGAAGGAGCGTCTCCACCCCCATCATTCAGCCCGGACACTGAGATCCAGCGCTGAGGCCCTTCTGGCGGTTCCCTCATTGCGAGAAGTGAGGTTACAGGGAACCAGACAGAGGGGCTTCTTGGTAGTGGCGCCCACCCTGTGGAACACCCTCCCTTCAGATGTGAAGGAAATAAGCAGCTATCCTATCTTTAAAAGACATCTGAAGGCAGCCCTGTTCAGGGAAATTTTTAATATTTAATGCTGTACTGTTTTTAACACTTGATTGGGAGCTGCCCAGAGTGGCTGGGGAAACTCAGCCAGATGGGCGGGGTATAAATAAATTATTATTATTATTATTATTATTATTATTATTATTCTGTAGCTTTTCTTCCACATAACAGCAAACTCTGCTCTAAAACTCAGGCTTTGTCCTGTTAACTATCCAAGAGTTGAAGAAGGGATCCCACCCATTTGCCATCTGGCACAGAGCGCCCCTTTCCGTGTTTGTCACCCAGGTAATTACCTTATCAGGAAGATAACCTGACATATTAGATTTTAACTCTTGCTGAATCCAGGGATTTAGAGGGGTCTGGCACCCACAATCTCATAACAGTATTTTAGATTGCTGGGAAAGAGTGGCAGTGAGCGAGTTGTCTCTCAAGGGAGCCTGTCCACCCTTCTTCAGCTTCTTACTGAGAAACTTGGAATTGTAGCTCTGCGAGGGGTAAACTACAGATTCTTTGGGGTGGTTGCTTTCAAAGTATGTTATATACTCAGAGGGCTACATTCTGATGTGCTTGTACTAACCTTATGCAAGTTTAGATTACACCTGGTCTTTTCTTTGAGTATTTGCTGTGATTTGCTTGTGGAAAAGTTATGTGACAATGAACAGTCACCCTGCATTCATCTTGATTTGCTTGCTTTGCTTGCTTGATTTGCTTGCTTTGTTTCCTGTTAATCACTTGCTCATTCCACACTTTCCATGCATTTTGTTGTCACTTTCCTAACCGGAAAAAAAGTCTGCTTTAATCTACTTGGAGCTGTGCAAACTTAAATTTCTCCGTATGCACTTGACTCCCTCATGCAAAATTGTGACAATTTAGGGATGCTCTGAGTCTCCCCTCTCACCATGACAACATTACCAAGTGGTAAGTCCACTCTGGACATTCTACAGAAAAAGCAACCAATGGGAGCCTCTCGGTATTTATTACTGTGGTGTGTATGCCCTCCATAATTAACTAGGGTGTATTTTATTTTTATTTACCCAAACAACAACAGCCCAGACTGCACTTTACAAGACCAAACATTACAGGCAGTAATAATGCAGACGTTGGTCTGTGTATATATGAGGCCTTTGTCTTCAGCTAACACCGCAGTGAACCTACTAACAAGAATTCTGGTTGTCCTGATATATAAAACCTCCACGGAGTTCACGATTCATTGGAGTCATCACATGCCTTTCGTTTTCTGTCCAACACTTGCTTCTGAGTCAATATTTTGTTCCCCTCTGTGCGCTTATTGATATTCTTTTTTTTCTTTTAATATTTGTTCTGTCATTTTATTAGGCAGTGAAGCCAACTTTAACAGGTGAGTGGAAAATAATTATCTGAAAGATTTTTTTTTTGTCTCTCTCTTCTGAAACCAGCATCCTAATTGCTTTTTTTTTTGTTTTTGTAATTTTTGTACTAATGTGCTTCTCACCATTCTTGCTCAATCAATTAATTCCATTAGCTGGCATTCCAATTCTATGAGCTGCTGGACCAGCAAATAGTTGTTTAGGGAGGAAGACAAAAAACTGCTGTGTCGTGGCAACTTGGAAGATTGGGGTGTTGCACTGGAGCCATTAACCTATGTTTGGCTGGCCTCTGTTGGAAACTGAACACAAGATGGAGATAGACTTGTGGTGCAATCCAGCTGTGTGCAAGTCTTATGTGCCCGCATAGCCGATTCAGGAGGTTGTATGAATTAAGAAGCCACCATCAACAGATCTATAATGGCTGCATCAAACAAATGTCTTGTATGACTCAGGCTTGGCTCTATAGAGAAGAGAGAAACCAGTGAAAGCTGATCTATTAGGGCAAGTGGGGCGCTGCCCCACCAACTTCAGCCAGCCCCCTCCTGTCTGCCTTCTTACTTATAACCAGCCCAGGGTTTGCCAACTGCCTGTCAGCTTTCTCCATCTTAGTCTAAGTGTTGCCCTTGTAGGGCTCAGCAGGGAGGAGGATGGGGATGAAGTTAGTATTAGTTGTCCCTGCCTGTCATTTCCTCTGGCTCCACCCACTGTTGGCCTCCTTGCCTTCTGCCCTACCTTTCCCAACAGGCACCAGCCACCACCAAGAGAAACTGGGAATGAATTATAGCAACCATAAGCAGGTTGGGTGTTTTTTTCAGCCAGAACTTGCCGGAACTCTGTTCCGGCACCTCTCAGGTGGGCACCATTGCCATTCTAAGAGAATGAGGGGGGTATTAATGGTGAGTTCCGGCACCTCTTTTTCTAGAAAAACAGCATTGACCATATTTAGGTGTCATATGTGTGAGATTGCTGTCACGTGAAGGAGACAACAGCGACCACACTCCCTGGCCTCATTCCTCCTTCATGACTGCTTTGGTGGCCACTGGCAGGGAATGTTCTGACATGGAAAGTTCTGCCCTGGGCTCCTTCAGGAGGAAAGTGAGATAGAAAATGAATGAATGTTGCAGGGTTCTACATAGTGCAATGAGGCCACATTTGTGCAGCTACTTCTGGTTTTCCCTCCAGCATGTGGAGGGCAGTAGTAGTGCATTACCCCACCATGACAAAACAGCAACGTGTGTGTGGATTTTGTCCAAACTGTTAAGTTTATATGCCACCTTCCTTTAAATACATCCGAGTGGGGAGAGACCTGCAAGAATCAGAAGCCTTCAAAAGAAGTCCCAGACAGCTGTCCTTTCTCAACCACCTATTCCAGAAACACTTGTTTCCCTTCAGTTGTGATGCATTAATTCTCGTTTTTGACGTTATCTTTAGCCTGACCATAATTCATTGCTTGTTTTCCTGCTTCACACCTTCACATGGCCAGAGCAAGTTCCTTTTTAGCAACAGGCTTAGAACTATCCTTCATGAAACCAAATTGACCACTTCCTGGACCCAGCTTTTTCCCTTTAGACCACAAAAGCTCATTTCTGACTTTAATTACTAGAGGGCTTTGATGTATTCTTAATTCTTCTTCTAAGCTTCGGCCTTTTAAATGCTTCTTCCAATGTGCGCTTGAAGGATCAGGAGGTTTCCGCAACCAAACAGTCTTTGTGTATACAAACTGGTATTAATGACCTCATCTTCCCTATTCCCTTTCCTCAGTGATCAGAAGTGACCACAACTCAACTAGGTGCCCGGCAGACTTGACCCAATTTAGTGTTCAAAATGCTGGGGAAGCAGAAGAAGTGAGGCACGAGATGGCCACATGTCATACTTCGGAGAAGATACTCCCCATTTGAAGAACCTCTAGCCCAAGTCCAGTTTAAAGATAAAGAACCATCAAAGTTGATGGGAGGGGCCATCATAAAATCCTCACATACTGACTTATAAGTGCAGGTGCAAATTTAGAAATATAATTTAAATAAAAATACATCTCACCATGGTGGGGAAGACTATGACCAGAGGACCTGTGCGCCTGCTCATTCTGCTCTCCAGGCGCTAACAGTTGATGGGCAACTTCAAGGTTCCTGCTCTCCTTTCTTTTCTTTTTCTTTTTTAATCTTTAAATCAGACCTTCAAAACAGGAATCCTTCGAAGACAGGGCTGGTCTCTGACAGCCTTTTAAATAGTTTGTCCTCTGTAAAGGGACTCCCAGGTCCTTAATGGGGTAACTGTGCCCCTGAAGGACCAGGTACGCAGCCTGGGAGTCATTTTAGACTCGCAGCTGTCCATGGAGGCACAGGTTAATTCTGTGTCCAGGGTGGCTGTCTACCAGCTCCATCTGGTACGCAAGCTGCGACCCTACCTGCCTGCGGACTGTCTCACCAGAATGGTGCATGCTCTAGTTATCTCCCGCTTGGACTACTGCAACGCGCTCTACGTGGGGCTACCTTTGAAGGTGACCCGGAAACTACAACTAATCCAGAATCCGGCAGCTAGACTGGTGATTGCGAGAGGCCACCAGGATCATATAAGACCGGTCCTGAGAGATCTGCATTGGCTCTCAGTACATTTCCGAGCACAATTCAAAGTGTTGATGCTGACCATACCTGAAGGAGTGTCTCCACCCCCATCGTTCAGCCCAGACACTGAGGTCTAGCGCCAAGGGCCTTCTGGCGGTTCTCTCACTGCGAGAAGTGAGGTTACAGGGAACCAGACAGAGGGCTTCTCTGTAGCAGTGCCTGCCCTGTGGAATGCCCTCCCATCAGATATCAAAGAGATAGTAGTTGTCTACATGACATTTAGAAGACATTTGAAGGCAGCTCTGTTTAGGGAAGTTTTTAATATTTAATGCAGTATTGTTTTTAACACTTGATTGGGAGCTGCCCAGAGTGGCTGGGGAAACTCAGCCAGATGGGCGGGGTATAAATAAATT